TTAACACATTGAGGGACATAGGAATAAGAAGGTGGAGTTAAAAACTAGTCCAGGTAATGAGATAAGAACCCATAGTTTCTGTCTAGACCGTATTTAAACCATTTAAACATTCTGTGGATGATTTCTTGTTCTACAATGTCATGTTCAAGTTGTCTTTTAACATTGTTTAAGGAGTGTTACTCTGAGGTCAGTGATGGAATGAATGCTCAGGAAAGGCAAAGTGCCATGGGCTTATGTGCATTTCTGAAAGTAATGTCAAATCAGTATCCATTCATTCTTCTATGTATGTATTGCTGTGGCAGGGCACCTTTGATGCCTACCACTTTAAAAGGCTTGAACAGGTTGTGAAGCAGCCAGCAGGTGTGGTGTGGCTTAATGAGGCAGTCACATGACTGCAAGAGGGCTTCAGGATTGGAAGATGGGGCTAGGCAGCCTCAGTATAAACCCAGGTCCTCAGAGCTAAGCGAGCAGTTGCTGCAGGGAGCCAGAGGGATAACATTTCCCTGCAGAGCTACTGCTCCCAGAACACGTGGAGGTTAAGGATAGGAACTATGGGGATGGAGGAGATTCCTGGTCCTGGGAAATGATCTAAAACTACACCCTGCTAGCGTTGGATGGTGTGGTGGGGCTGCCTGTGGCAGGGTGGTCTCCAGGAAATGCCACACCAGTGCCTCCCTAGTGAAAGGTGAGTATGGGGCACCATATAACCTCAGCCCCCACGATCTGGAGGGTTACCTCGTAGAGGGGACAGGCAAGGGGTCCAGGCATGTCATCAGGCCTGAGACCCAAGGGGCATAAAGGTGAGAGCCCCAGGGAGGGGGCAGAGTAACAGGCCCAGCAAGGGCATGTGAGAAGGCTGTGTACAGTGGGGTCTGCATGTGCAGGCCTGAAGGACTGCACATAGGCCAGCCTTAGAGATTGAGTGAGTTGTGTTTGTAGGGACCCGAGTAGGTGGGCCCATATGAGAGAGTGAGGGTGAGCAGCTCAGTCACCTGACTAGAGAAACCCTCGACTGGTCAATGCTGGGGCCAGGACCAGAACAGTCAAAGGGCCAGAGCGCCCACTGTGAGGGACGCCCACAGCCAGGGGCCTGGGGTTCAGAGTGGCCTAAAGGTGAGGCCAGGGCCTTTGTGGCCAAAGGTCCCAGAGGGGACCATTGCCCAGAGGGAGACGGGTTCAGGGAGCTTGACAGCCCAGAATGAGGGAAGGTAAACCGCCTAAGAAGGAGGCATCCAGTTGGGGTCCGAACGCCAGGCGGGCATAGAAGGACATTCATCGTGGGGCCTGAGCCTTCTGCGAGGCATGGGACACAGTATAGGGGGAAGTTCGGAGCCGTATATTATGTCCTTGACATTGGGCAGTAAGCTGCCTGTAAATTCCTGTATGCCAGGAACTGTACAGCATTAATTATAGCCAGGATCTGTTGGGGTGTAGCAGAATGGCTGCACCCGCTTCACTTGTGTGCCTACCTGCAGTGAGCTCTGAGCTCACCAGTATGTCAGAGCTCTGCATGTGCAGTGAGATTTGAGCTTACCAGGTGATTGGCCCCAGACGTAGGACAGAGTCCCTGATTTTTATGCAGCTCTGGAGCCCAGGAGATGAATGTGGCAGCAGTGTGCCCTCCCTCCCTTCCACCACCCCCTTGGCTCCAGAGCCTTGCAAAAGCAGGAGCTGTGGCCAGAGCCTGTGCTGACCAGCTCAGAGCTCATGGCATATTCAGAGCTCTGGCTGGAGCTAATCTCGTGTGTTGGTAAGCTCAGAGATCTCATCAACATCTAAGTTTGCAGCAAGGGGGCTGTGGCCACAGCAATGCTCCCCTGCCATTCTCAGAACAGGGTGACCCCAGTCTGGGGAAGAGGAAGGAAGCAGTAGCTTCTGCAGTCCTCCTGGAGACTAGAGGGGCTGGAGCAGCAAGGAAGGTTTCCCCATGTGTTCTCCAGACTGAGCTAAACCAAGTGTAGGGTGGTAGGAGGAGCAGCAGCTGCTCCACTCCTCCGAGGGACCAGGAGGAGTGAAGTAGCAGGGAAAGTTTCCCCAGAGTTTCCCTGGAAATTTCCCCCAAAATTTGCAGGACTAGAAATGGTTTTCATCTGCCTTAGAAGAATAAAGGGCTCACAGAGTCAGACTGAGATTTGAGAAAGTTTATGAAGTTTAAGACATTAAATGCTAACCTCTGCCCCTTTGTCTGAGAGCCTGTACCCAACAGTGTTCCAGATTTCAGAAGTAGCCTTAAACAGACGGCACATCTGAGAGCTGTTGGTAAAGGTCCGAGCGTACTGGAGGCTCTCCAAAGTAGAAATAATAACAACAATAAACCTGCCCTGCTTTTGCTCCTCACTTGGATTTCAGGCTGGATACAGAGAGATTACCAATTCTCATATTCTGCTCTAATTGGAAACCAAGCTTTCAGGAAACAGATTTGGGTCTCCTATACTAATCTCTCACCTCATGACAGCTGTTCATTAACTTGTATTTGTAGAGCCTAGGGTCAGGGCATTTGTGTATAGAAGTTAAGCTTCCTTATCTTTCTGTTATGGAATACCTTTCATAAAGGCAGGATTGTGTTTGCATAGCACTTTGTATTTTTTCCATTCTTCTCTGAACTTCCACACACAGTCCTTACAATGCACATAGGGTTTACTTTATAAAACCCCAGGAAATACAAGCAAGATAGTCTATCTTGGTTAATGAATGCTAGCAAAAGCCTTTGTAAATAGTTTAACTCTCTGTTTCTTAAATAAAAATGATCCCTTCCATAGAAAGATTAGTGCTTGTACTCAGCTTTGTTGAAATATTTAAAAATTTGGAACGTTAAATATAAAAAAATATTGGGAAGTAAGAAGATTTCCATTTTTATTTGATTTAAAAACATTTGGCTTAGCATTATTAAATTATCTTGACATCATAAATTTTGTCCTCAGGAGTCTTTACTTCATTGTGATTTAGAAGCAAATGATAGATGGTTTTAAATTTTACATGGTGAGCCAAAGGTTTCATTGAGCAAATTATTCCAGTTATGTGAGCTTACAGCTTCTTTTTCTGTGAAGTAAACAAATCATGATTTCTTTGCCTTTTCACTTGTATTTATTCCTCACATTCCTTTATGACTTAACTGCTGGGAGATCATCCGTAGTCCTTTGCAAGTTTTCCATGATCAAACTGTTGATAAGCTGTGATTGGTCAGATAAATCACATGGTATTGTTTCTGTTTCCTGACCAGAAGTGTACATAGTTAGATGTCTACAACTATAGCCCAGCTTCTTGCATTTTTAAAATTTTAAATGTTTCTATTACCAGAAGAGCTTGAAAGATTATAGTTGGTTATCTTCATTTTGTGCAATTTCTTTCTAGGCATTAAAAAAGAAATATTCTGAAGCTTGTCTACCTGAGTTCCTACAACCTTGATTTTATCAGGTTGTCTTAGTTTAGTCTATATTTAAATAAAACAAACATATTTATATTTACATACAATATCATGGCATATATATTAATGCATAGCAGATAATGAAAGCTAAGTAGGGTGTGTTAAATTCTGCCCCCTACCTGCTTGCACAAAGCAGAATTCTTTTTAATGCGTTTCTTGGAAGGTCTTAATATCGTGTGCTAAATAGCGGCAACCAGAGAAGAGGCTATTGTTGCAGTTCTAAAAACAAGGCTAGTATTTGCTTGAGTGAACATTTATAATTTATGAAAATGGCAATCTTAATTTATTTTTACTATTATTTTGTATTTATCTTGTCAAATTCAGCGACTGTTCCCTCACTTGTTTTCAAATACTGTGGCATGTTTTACTATAGTAGTCTGTTATGATTGTTGAGCGCTATTTATTATGAGACCTTTTATTTGCTTATAAACCTCTAGCTGAAGTTCTGCTTGCTGGGTGTTTGCCTCAGAAGGGTATTTGTTTCATTTCAGGCAAAATGGTTCAGACATTTCTGAGAATGAGGCTAGGAAAAATGCATTGTTTTGCACATATTACCTTAATTTGGTGACCTTTTACTTTAAAAACATCTAGTGTTTCCGTGTGTGGAACAAGGACTTAACTTTTGGCAGGATGGGTTGCCTGCATGTTAAGGATGAGCCTTTTACCGTGTCCACAAAGTTACGCATATTTGGCCAAATTATTTCAAGCTTTTGAAAAATCTGAGTTTACACTTGCTCATTAGAGCTCTTTAAGATTTTAGTTGCTAAATTCCTTGCACATTCTCGCTGCACTAGGCATAATTTGGCTTGTGGATGATCAGGATTTATCACCATTTGTAGCTCTGGGTTGCAGCAAACTGTACTGGGTCCAGGACCAGGTGTCTATCACAGAGTTGAGAGTGGAGAGGCAATCTCTGCTGTGCTGTCAGAGCATGTCTGTACTGCTTCTTTGGTGTTCCCAAGGGTGCCACTCATGAGCAATGCCCATGTACCTGCTCCCCACTCTGCATGTATCAAACCTAGAAATGAGATTGTAAATAGACCTCTGTCTCCTACCCTTTGTTCACTGCCACTCTTGAAATATCTGTCTTCACTGTTTTTTGGAATGGTGGCAGGGTCATGTTCACTACTTCATTGCCAGGGCTCATGAAGGCTGAATGGGAGCAAGTCAGTAGGGCATGCTCAAGTGGGTAGGGCATGCCCTAAGGAGCACCAGGGAAACAGCAGTTGGGCCTTTAATGACACCTGCTGAGTGAGCCCAGAGAGCATAGAGGAGGATGTAAATGTAGTACATGAGTGGAAGTGGGTTGAGGAAAGGAGCCTTGGAGAAGGTAGAAACTAAGGAGAAAGAGAAGGTGTCTTTGCAAAAAACTAGTATGTAATCACGTAAATTGAAGACCGTTTTGTATTGCTTGTGTACAGTGGGAATGTATTAAAGTTGCACAGTCAACCTTAACTTGAGCATCTCTTAAATTTTAAATACGTTTTGCTTGTAAAGTGTATTTAATTACAGAGGCTTTCACTGATGTGTGAATGTCTAAAGTTTACGGTGTGTGATTTATCTAATTTTGCTTTAGATTATAGGCTGCCAAGTTCAGAGGGAACCGCTGGAGTCTACTGAGCGATATACTCGTTGGATCAATAATCTGACACAGGGACAACTTCTTACACAGGTATACTTGTTCCAGCTCTGATTCAATTTGCTGTGCTAAAGAAATAAGCAGAGGTGGATTTTATTGTGTTTTCTCATTTGCTTATGCAGCTTGCTCCCAATCTAAGATGGCCTTTGAGAAACTAAGAGCAAAAATATATTTTTTTTAAATCCACTACATCATTGTTTGAGTGTAGGCTGTATAATATTAAAACTTGATATTTTAATTTATATTAGTGCAAAAAAGTCTTACAGTTGTGGCGGATGAAGCTATTTTACTTTAGCTTCCTAATATACATCACTTTTCTCCCTGTATATGTGGTTATTATACTGTGGTTATTAACTATACATCCTGTCATTTTCTACTACAGTACTTAGAAAAGCTTTTTTTTAACATACATTTTTAAAGAAGAAAAAAGAAAAAAATATTTCATTTCTTGGGAAGTGATTCTTAGCTGTAAGATTATACCCTGATAGTTTATATAAACATATGCACTTGGTTAACTCTCATTAGAGATAATTTTAAAATGGTAGTTTTTCAAGGCTTAAACACTGGTCACATTATACATGTTTTTAAGTAAGATGCATCTTGTGCAACTGAAGACAGCAGACTTGGCTTAAAAAGAGATTGTTTCATTAGGCAGGCAGCCAGTGCTGAACTAAAAGGGACTTTGGCAAAAACAAGTTGAGTTGTGGAAGAAATCAGGCCAGCTTCTAGAAGAATGCTTGTGCTAACCAAGTATTAAAAGGAATCTAATGGATGGTTAGCAGAAGATCATCCCAGCATGCATTAAGAAGCACATATTTTGGGCTTAATTGTTGTGGTGTTATGACAAGAATACATTTGTTTTTAATTTTGCTGCATTCAAATGGCTCAAGAAATGAATACAGTTAATATTGTAAACTCTCTTGCATTTCCTATTGCCTTATCCCTAAAGACATCCATATGGGCTCTGGTGTGGTAATTGTAACCCACAGAGGAATCCATAGAGCACCTCTTACAATCTGCAGTGGAAACCATTGAAGTGCACAACAACATGTAATCACTAGTTTGAAATACTGAACAGAGTATTTTGTTCTAAAGGATAGCAATTTTCTTATGACGAATAACTTACAAAATACAATGCCAATGATATCTTACATCAGCTTGTCCAAGAAAGACATATGGGCATTGCTCAATTCTGTTTGGGAAGGGATGTGGTTATAGGGGTCATTTATGCATGATTGGTGGTCCTGTATTGCAATAATAAAATGTTGGTCTCAGAACATTAATCAAGTGAAAGTAATTATAAGAAAAGTCACCAGTGGAATATTTGGTATTGCCTTTGGGTTTGGAGGGATTTATGGGTTGAGAAATACTGAATGGTTCAGAAACCGGCAGCTGGATGCATAGTCACAACACGTAGTACTGGTGGGGGGAAAAAGGTTAATTGTTTAAAGACTGATCCAATAGCCATTGAACTCTTTCCATTGAGTCTGAACGAGCCATCGGTTTGGTTTGTCTTCTAATAAATTGGTCTGAAAGGCTGACAGTGTCTTTAAGCAAAGGGCACATACAAGGCATTCTTTCAAGTTGTGACTTCATTTGATAGATTATCTGGCCAAGGAAAGAACATTGAAAATTGTATACAATTTTCTTATACTTCAGATGTGTCACTAACACTGTTGGAACATTTGCTGTTGATTTAATTGATAACAGGATTAGGATTTTCCTTTCTGTCTACATCTACCTTTGCTTTTCTTGTCAGAAATGCTGGGGATGGTGTAAATCAAATAAATAATAATGTTGTTTTCACCTGGATTTACATGTTTCACAAAGAAATGAGAAAACCAGTTCAGATACTGTCTAATTCCTGGTATGATTCTGCAGACAGAGCCGAGCCATTATGGCTTGGTGAATCAAATATCCTTCAACCAGGTTATTGTGGAATCAGCTTGGATGAGCTCCTCTGTATAGCTTTATGTCAACTTTAAACTATTTGGATACCTCCAAAATTTAAACTAACTTTAAAAACAACTGTTAGAACTTATGTAGTTTAGTAAAATTTCCTTTTTTAAAGTATTTCAATAAAAAATTGCGAATGGCTTAGACTTAGATGTCCTCTAAGATTAACTTTGCAGTATTTTCAGCTCATCAGAAGAGCAAAATTCATGGCCAAATTCATTTAATATTGATTTCTTTGCCAAGTAATTTCTTGTGGGTTTAGCATTTCTTTGTATGCCTTGACTATTTTTAGTTTTTTTTAAAAAGAGAATATTATAGGGTGCAGACTGAAATGCAGCTCCCTGCTATAACTGAGAACGCTTTGCAGGAAGTGTTCTGAGTTAAAATGATTCCATGGAACAAACAGAAGTTCACTGTTGGTTCCAGTGGGGAAGGGAATCTAGCTGCTGGCTGCCAGCCTGGAGCCATAGCAACGGCCCCTCCTCTCTCCCAGCCTGTCCCTGTTTCAGACTGGAAAAGGTGGGAAAAGGAAGGAGAGGGAGCTCATTCAGTGTTCGAGGGTGGGGTGGGTATATTGGAACCCCCACACATCAGGGACTGAAAGCCCCACACTGAACTCCCTCCACTTTCTTTCCCCCTCCCATTCTGAAAACAGTGACAGGCTGTCATGCAGCGCAGACAGAAGTTACAGAAGATGTTCTGTTCTGAAACATCTTCATCTGAGCCCTGATGCAATAAGGGTTCAGATTTTCACCCGATCAGCTATTTTTTAAGCTGTCTGCAGCCATTCACTTGTGTTTGGTCACAGCTATAAACTGCTTTCTGGGGTCAGATCAGGCAAAAATTGACATTTCTGTCGGTGCCCATAGCGTCACTGCTGGCCCTACTGATGTCTTTATACAGTCTCTGGGATAAGCAACCCTTCAGCAAATCCTGGAAAACTGACTTTAATTCACAGTGCATTGTTCCCAATAATTTCTTGCACTGAGGAATCTGAAAAAGTGCTCGGCCCTCTTTGCAGCTCTCTCCGTTCAGTACTTTTCAGTTGTTTCTTTTATACTACTGTACTTTTTGCCAGAGTCAGAAGTGACTCTAACCTCTGTAGTGGAAACATCAGCAAGGAAGGAGTAGGAGAAGTCAGTTCCAGTGGCATCCTTCTCTTGACCAGATGTGCGGAACATGGACTCACTAGCACCCTGTTCTGCGAGAAAAACAGGCACAAGGTATCATGGCAACACCCATAATCTATGCATGATCTGTGCATTGGCATCTGATTGACTATGTCATCATCCGTGCCCAGGATAGCAAAGATGTCCACATCACCTGAGCTATGCTAGGAGCTGATGATTGCTGGACTGATCACCAACTTATCTATTCAGTTATATCGCTCAAACTGGCTCCCATATGATACCTGCAACACAAGCATGCCGGTGGAAGATTGACATTGAAGGACTCAAGGAACTAAGCAAGCAAGAACTTTTCCACCAGTGCCTCAATGAAAAACTGGTGAATTCCAGTCAACAACAATGAGAGAATGTTAGCAGCATGTGAGGTGCCCTCAAGGCCACAGTCATCAGTGCCTGTGAGGAGACACTTGGATTCTCTGCCAGGAAACATCAAGACTGGTTTGATGAGAATGACCAGGAGATCCAAGAGTTGATCAATCACAAATGCAAGGCCTTCTGTGCTTGGCAAAATGACACCAACTACAAGCAAAAGAAATTGAATCTCTAACAAGCCAAGGCAGAGGTCCAAAGGCAGACGTACAACATGAAGAACACATGGTGGGAAGATAAGGCGAAGAGGATTCAACGTCTGGCTAACATCCACGATACGTGTGGTTTCTTCAGTGCCACCAAAGCCATCTACAGTTCGAGCACTCGGGGACCAAACCCCCTTGAAACCTAAGGGTGGAGGAGACCTGATCAAGGAATGGAAAGCCATCAATGCCCATTGGAAAGAGCATTTTGAAGACCTTCCCAACTGACACTCTTGACAAGTGTGTTCTCAACTCCATCCTACAACACCCAGTCAGAGATGATCTCAGAATCCCACCAACCCTCGACAAAGTGAGGAAAGCTGTCAAACAAATGAAGAACAACAAGACATCTGAAGTGGATGGAATCTCTGCTGAAATCTTAAAACAGGAAGGAGAGGAGCTTACATCAAAGTTTCATGCCCTCATCTTAAGGACCTGGAATGATGAAGAAATCCCAGATGACTCCAGGGATGCCATGACTGCGACAATCTTCAAGAAAGGAGACTAGTCTGACTATGGAAACTACAGAGGGATTGCCTTGCTGTCCACCACAGGAAAGGTAATTGTGAGAACCCTTCTCAACTGTCTCCTTGCTGAAGAGCTCATCCCGGAATTTCAGTGTGGGTTTAAGGCATCAAGAGGCACAACTGACATGATCTTGGGAACAACATAAACCTCTCTAATTGCCATTCTTTGACCTTACAAAAGCTTTCAGCTCTGTCAGCTGAGAAGTGTTGTGGAGGATCCTTCTGAAGTATGGATGCCCACCGAAATTTGTGACCATTCTCTGCTTGCTCCATGACAGCAAATGGGAGTTAAGCAAGGCTGCATCATCGCTCCAGCACGTTTCTCAATATTCCGTACCACAATGTTGCATCTGACCACCAACAAGCTTCCAGATGGAATGGAGCTAAAATACTGAATAAATGGTAAGCTGTTTCACCTCAGCTGACTCCAAGCCAAAACCAAGACCACCCCAACTACAGTCACTGAGCTCCAGTAAGCTGATGAGGCTGTAGTGTGTGCTCATTCAGAAACGGACCTTCAGGCAAAGGCCGTCGTCTTTATTGAGGCATACAAGAAAATGGGGCTGACGCTTAAGACTAAGGTCCTCCACCAACAAGCTCCTAATGAACAGTCTCCAGCTCCAATAATCCAGATCCATAGTGAGTCTTTGGAGAAGGTTGTGTATTTCCCATACCTTGGTTGCCATCTCTCGCAGACGGCTGACATCAACAAAGAAATCCAACATCGTCTCAAATGTGTAAGTGCAGCCTTTGGATCGTCTTACCCAATAGACAGTGTTTAGATGCTCGTA